ATGCTGAAACTAAACATTTTTTTTGGCTTAGAAAATATTGTAGTTATAGTTTAAGAAGAAAACTTTGAAAAATGATAGGGATCAGAAATTCAAATCTGAGTTGTCGCTAAGATTGTATTTATTTATTGTTTATTTGTGTGAAGTACACTATTTTCCCTCCATGGTAAACTTGTGCAGATCTGGATCACTGTATATGGCTGTTTTATCCATCCTTTAATTAAACGTTTAGGATTTAAAAAAAAAATAAAAATAATGCATCTACTTTTATTATTTTACTATGTCGTTTTTTTTCCATACAATAAATCATTGTTACTTCTACTAGTGTAGGGATTATTTTGAAGTGTTTTCCTGTTCTCAATGTTGTCTCCATCAAACATTTCTTAGTGCCAGCCTCAATGGTTAAGCTGCTACCCATCTTATTCTGCTATATATATATATATATATATATATATATATATATATATATATATATATTTAAATATATATGTATATTCGGGCAAACCACCTTCAGGCAAGTGTCTATTCGGGCAAGTGTCCATTCAGGAAATCGGCCTTCGGGCAAACAGCATTCGGGCAAGCGTCTTTCGGGAATTCGTCGTATATATATATATATATATATATATATATATATATATATATATATATATATATATGATGGTGTAATTGAATGCTTTGCTTTTGACTGCTAAACTGAAAGTACGGATCTCGGTGCTCGAGTCCCTAAGTCCATCCATCACATGCGTGAAAGAAAAGTGCTGACCACACTATCCCTTCCCATGATGAGGTCACTGAAACAGGTAAACTCTACTTCACCTGCCTCAAGACCCGTTAAGTTCAAAAGGATTTATATGAAATTTGTATCAATATCCATCTATCTATTTACATATGTTTACATATAAATCGAGAGTATGCATATATGTAGTCCTATATGTGTAGGGAAATGCCCACACACAGTACCTACATATACCATAACAAATATGCATGTGTATATCTGCCAAGCGTTAAATGACGGTAGTATTCATATAAACATCTGTCCTACTAGCGAGCAATCAAAGCTAATTAAGACTGTATTAACGAAACAAATTATTGAGGAAAAAAATCGATAATAGAATCGTTAATATCTAATTAACAGGGAAATATAAAAAAACTTTGAGGGCATAACCCAAGTATCGTGGGCATTGGCGTAGTCACCGTAGGCAGTTAGTGAGTGAGAATTTACGTACATCGTAGCACGAAGTGGTGGGGGTAGCGGGGTCTTTATTTTATGTTTTAAAGGGTATGGGTGTTGGTATAGAGTATAGAAGGGGGCCATTCATAAATGACGTCACGCTTTTTTGGACGATTTTTACCTCCCCCCCACCCTTCGTCACACATCGTCACAAAAAGCCAGACCCCACCCCCTAAAATGACGTCACACCTCAGCCTACAACCCCCCCCCCCTCAAAATTGCAGTTGCATTTTTTTCAAAACATCGATATTTTCCAAAATCTTGTCTGAACTCTGTCAAAATAGAGTATTTTAATCAATTCCTATTACAATTTATTAGAACAGTTTTCTAAAACACGAAATAACGTCTGAAATTCGTTTTCTGACATTGCTTTTTTATAATGCAAAAGTGTGACGTCGCACCATCTGAACCAGAGTTTCTTCCAGGCATCTCTTCGGAGGGCGAAGCCCCCCCGAAAATTTTTTACCGCCCCCCCGAACGGAATAAAATTTATATAATTTATATAGAAAATATATACTTTTAACAGTGTCCGCCCCCCCGAAAATTTCAAGTGCCCCCCCGGAGAAAAAAGTCTGGAAGAAACACTGATCTGAACCCCCCTCCCCCTCATCACACACCTCACAAAGTTACGGACCCCCAGTGTTTCTTCCAGACTGTTTTCTCCGGGGGGGGGGGGGGGGCACTGGAAACTTTCGGGGGGGGGGGGGGGAACGGTAGACTTTCTTCGGGGGGGGGGCGGACACTGTTAAAAGTATATATTTTCTATATAAATTATATACATTTCATTTTGTTCGGGGGGGGGGGGGGAAGGGGGCGGTAGAATTTTTTCGAAGAGATGCCTGCGGACCCCGCCTCCCCCTACGAGTGTGACGTCATTTATGGACGACCCCGAACATCGTTATATGACTCACTTTATATCACAAACGCAACGTTAGCCTCTTCTTAGCTTTTTCTGAATTACGTCTTTAAATGACGACACACCCTGTGAATTAATTTAAAAATACACTTTTTTTTTCTTCTTTGTTCTTAATCGTAATTTTGGATTGAATTTCCTCCAACACAATTCTGTATTGCGTGTAAACACATTACGCGCCAGATGGCGCTTTGACTACGATTTCAGCCTGCTTTTCTTTCTGAATTATTTTGCTTCCATTGCCTTTGTCCATCCAAGAACAAATTACAAGGCAGCAGTTGTTTGATTTTGGAGTTTTCTCTGCTTGATGATCAAGAACGTACATTTTTAGACCCTAGGTAATAGTAATGTTTAATTAATGGATAATTAGTATCGCGAACTTAAGAAAGTAGGAAAACATTTTCACACAGGGAAGGCTTATCCGGGCATGGGAGATAAACTTTAATCAAAGGGAGGTAAACTACAAACAAATTAGCAAAATATGTCGAAAAACATAAAGAAATAGAAAAAAATATATTTTAAAACGTCAAATATTACTTAACTACTATTATACATTTTCATAGCATATTTGGTCAAAATATGTCTTTAAAAGTATATATAAAAATACTTTTATTTATAATTTTACAAAAGTTAAATAGTGGAAAACAGTAAGCAGTATTTAATAATTAATATTAAATAACAAAAAAAGTATCTCAATCTAGTGATTTATGAGTCTTGAATTTGAGGTTTGACTTGAATTGTCGCAAGAAAAATCTTTACTTTAATTCATTTTACTCTTTATAAAAAAAAAAATTTCTGCTGCGCGCATCACCATAAGCTTCATCATAATCGTATGCACATTATTTTGTCAATGCTCACTCTCTTTTGCACTGTTACATAAATTTTATGTTAATTTTCTTGCTGTTTAAACTTTCAAATGTTACTGCAGACCACACTAACACACAATTTGGAAACAGTGAGTAGTTACACTAGAATAAATCTATAAAAAAATAAATAAATAAAATTTCGAAAAAAACTGTAAAACTAAAGCGAACATTCAAGGCTAACTGGCACTGTAAATTACTGTAATACTGTCTAAAGCTATGACACTGGAGGACTAGCAAACACTCGGCGCCCCTCGGGGTGAGGGGGGGGGGAGTCTTGTTTTACTAACATTTTTGTGTATTTCTTAAAGAATGAATTTTACGCGACAGAAAACAGTAACACAGAAAAACACCCACCTGAGATGGGGTTAAGTTTATCAACATATGGCTAAGTTTATCAACATATGGCTAAGTTTATCAACAAATGGCTAAGTTTACCAACAAATGGCTAAGTTTGCCAACATATGGCTAAGTTTATCAACAAATGGCTGTTTACCAACACATGGCTAAGTTTACCAACAAATGGCTAAGTTTACCAACGGGTCTACGACAAATTTCCGAAAGACACTTGCCCGAATGCCGTTTGCCCGAAGGCCGATTTCCCGAATGGACACTTGCCTGAATGCGACAAATGCCCGAATGGACACTTGCCCGAATGCGACAAATGCCCGAATTGCCCTCCGAACGAAATGGAATTTATATAGAAAACATACTTTTACCAGTGTCCGCCCCTTCCCCCGGAAAATTTTGTCCGCCCCCTCGAAAATACCAAGTGACCCCCCCCCCCCCTTCCGGAGAAAAAAGTCTGGAAGAATCACTGCTAGTAATAGACACGAATTCTCGCCCTCCGCTTAGCCAATGTTCAAGCTAAAAAATGTCCATGTAGGTCTGATGTCTACGTTGTTACTAGTAATATTGGAGGGTTTTTTCTCCAATAAGTTAAGTATTACGTCATTGTGTCACAGTGGCGTAGCCAGGTCGGGTGTTACCCGGTGCGGCACTTAATGGTGTCACCCCCCAGAGGCGTAGCGACCCTTCCCGGGGACAAACTTTCAAGTTTTCGATTTGCAACCCCCCCGCCCCTCAAACTTTCGATTTGCACCCCCCCCCAAGTTTTCGATTTACACCCCCCCCCCCTCAAACTTTCGATTTGCACCCGCCCTCAAGTTTTTCTCTATATATTTTGCTATTTTTTGCCTTGGTGTCACCCCCCCTAAATGGTGTCACCCGGTGCGGTCCGCACACCCCGCCCCCCCCCCCCCCCCACGCTACGCCCCTGTTGTGTCAACATGTTATGCGCCGGCTGACTTCAACTTCAGCCGTCGTTTCTTTCTGGATTCGCTTTGTTTTGCACCCCAAGAAAAATCACAACACCTTTTTATTTTTTAAAAGTTTTCTTTCCGAGATGGGTTGCTGTCCTCAGCTATGAAGCCTCATCTGTCTAGGGGTTCCAAAAATCCTAAGTCTTTAAACTTCCAATTAACTGTATCGCGTTAATCATGTGTATGAGTGCTAGATCTAGAGGTTTTGCGACTCATTCAGGCGCGGGGGGCGAACTGTCAATTTTTATGCCCCCCCCGTCCAATTAATATCATATTTATACGTTAGTGAAAAGCCCCCCCCCCCCCTCCCCCGTTGAAAAAGGTTGGTGGCGCTTTTTACAAGTCACTAGTTTTTCGGTGCCACAATTTGGCGGTGTATAATTCAATACTTTTGCTTAAAACGAGCTTCTAAACATTTTTTTTACATGCATCAAGGCACCCCCTTAGGGTGGGCGCCCGGGCGGCCGACCTCCCCTTGCTACGCCACTGGGTCGATCCACCTCCTACGTCAGACATTTATCACAGATCTCCGCCCCTGGTATTATATAATATCCCCCCTCCCCACAAACACACCCATACACACACCTCAAGTAGGCCCAATGACACTGCACCCCCCCCCCCCCCCTTGTGCAGGCGATCATAAAAACAAAATTAAAAACTACTGCTGTGTACTG